ATACGGTGATTTGTAGGTGTTTCTTGAGTCGAGAGTCAGAGTTTTGACGTTCTTAGTGTTTAATAGTTTCGATGAAAGGTAAGGAAAATTAGTGTTTTATCTTAGTTAAATTATGATGTATGAATTGCTAACTAATGTTGTGTATAACTAATGTATGTTGTTGGTTGTATTAAAGATGATTTTTATTAAGTATTGAGTGTTTGAAATGATGGAAATTTGTTGAATGGTGTAGTAGTGTATCTTGCTATTTTCGTTTAGAATTGATTAATTTCATGAATGCTTCTATTGAAATGCTTGATGGTATCAATTTGGTTAGAAAGTTGAGAAGAAGTTATTTGGACTAAGTTAAAAGTCATTTTGTGTAGTAAAAATGGAGGTTTGGTAGGTGAATTTTAGAATTACTCGTCTAAGGTGAGAATTTGTGGTTAAAACATGTTATTTTGGTCATTTAAAACTTGTTAGACTTTTAGCTGAGTAAAAATCTGATGTTGAGTTGGTAAATCTGCAAACAGGTTGTGCTCTAGTTGTTTTCTTGTCAATTTTAGGGGTTTTGAGTAGTGAGTTTTCAAAGTAAGTAAATTGAGGTCCAGTGGAATGTTTGTGTTTTCTAGTGAGTTATTTGAGACTTGGTCAAACCCCTAAATGGCTATGTTATGGGCTAAAAGTGGTAGATTTGAGTTAAGGTCTATAGGTTGAAATTTTAGTTGGTTTAAGTTAGAATTTCATTATAAAATGAGTTTAGTTTTGGTTTTAGTTGAATTATACATGCTTGGATGTGTCTAATTAGGTTTATAATATCAAATGAAAGTTGTAGATGTTAGTAGAAGTGTGTAAGTTAGATAAGGTAGTTGAGGGGTGCAAATTATGAAGTTTTGGTGCTACAAAATATGTAGTCTCACTAAGCATGTGTAGCCGCTAAGTGAGTAGAACTATATCTAGCTGAGCAAGTGTATTCACTAAGCAAGCAGAACTCATGGTTTTTGTATTCACAAAGCGAGTCATGGTGGCTAAGTGAGTGGGCTGACATACACTTTAAATTGAGCGAGCAGATCTGATGGTTGAGCGAAAATATTAGAATTTTCAACTAAGTTTTTATATACTTCTTAAGTTGTGTTCAATGTATGTGATTGTTTGAATGATTGATTTATATTACTTATTGTGAAGTATGAATTGATTTATAATATGAATTGGAAACAAAATCATGTATATGATAATAATATATGATGATAGTGAGTTTTGTTTTCTTTTCTCTTATTTTCTTATGAAGGATAATTACATTGATACTCTAAGGTGTGTTTGATATATTATATGGAATGTGTGGTGTACCGTATGGCCCGAACGGTCATACATTATCCCACACCAATCCAGCCGGATGGCCTTAGAGAGTAGGAAGCAGTTTAATGATTGAACGTGGCATAACCAATAGGCAAGATCGAACGACCAGGAGCAGAAACGTCCAACCTGAGTCAATAGACATGTTTTTCTACAAGGATTAAGGTAAATGGTAATTAGAGGTATTGATATGAGATTTGGCTGTGATTAAGGTTTCACTAATCTCAAACTCATGCCAAAAACTATAAATATAGGTCAAAAGCAAAAGGTAGGTGATCACATTTACTGTGCATTTATTACCGTTATATTAAACTCTCGTATAAACAATTTACTAACTTAAGCATCGGAGGACCTTTGGCAGGTACATCTCCGGACGGTGGAGTGAAGGCAAGGATTTGAAGAACAGTTACCAGACGACATCCTAGGAGAAATTGTGCAGGTATTTGAAGTGACTCGACCTCATACCCGTAACATGTGGTATGGTTTGGAACATGTGATTAAACTGAATGAGGCGTGTAAGAGTTCTAAGGAGAATTTGTAATGGTTGTATCAGAGCGTTGTAAGTATGAATATAGAAAGTTTAGTCTTGGAATTCATCTTGACATTCTAATGATCATCAATTCTTAAGTAGAGAGGGGTGAGGCATGTCGTGAGAGTAGCAGAAGATCTTAGTCTAGAGGCTTTACCTTGGCCTAAGGCGAGTAATAACGAACTAACCTTGTATGGTAGTTGGGGTAGGCCAATAATTTCACCACTATAGGTGCACAAACTTCTATAGCTCGATATTCATACTAAATCCAGATTGTATAGTCTAGGTCTTGACATGTTTAACATGTGTGGATTATTTTATAATAAATACGATTCATGTGTGAAATATTAATGTATATATTGATTTGTTTTATATCACTAACTTACCCTTGCTTTTGTATTGTCTATCTTTGTATATGTTTCTCTTTTGCGCTGATCACCTTAAATGATGTGAACTTAGGGAGAAGATATCTCTTTAGTTGTTTCAGCGTGAAGAGGAAGATAAAGTGTAGATAGGTTCATTCTTCAAATGTATAATTTCCTTTTCTAAAAATCTTCGGTCTCTTGTAAGTTATCATATATGTAATATTTTATTTTAGTGGTTTTATACTATTAAAATATAATGTTAGAGAAATGACAATGGTAAAATGGAAAATGGAAAATCATTGTTGCAATGTGATTCATGGTGATGTGGAGAGGAAAAAAAATAAAAGAAAAATCCAGAAAACAAAAAGTATAGTGATTGAATTGAATAAAAAAATATTAAACTTTCAGTAATTAACAATTATTATTAATTTTATGTACTATTTGTGTTTAAAGTCTTATATATGACTATTATGGAGAAATATATTTTAAAAATTATAATGTTTATGCTGAATAAAAACGAGGATAAAACTTGCAAACTTCTTCTTTTTGGACGAACATTCATTTCTCTCCTTCCTTTGCTTGATCGATCTGTTTGAGATTATGAAAAAGTCAGTCTTACCTGATTAAAACTTCTTACAAGAATCAAACATATTAATTGACCTCTTAACGGTTATTAATGCAAACATTATTGATCCATCAATGGCAATTACCACATTGATTACACTTTAACTTTGTTAAAGGACTATCACGATTGTCCGGTTCGCTGCTCTTTAGTGTACTCCAACCACTCGGGTAACTTGTCTTACATATAGTAACAATAATATAATCATATAAAGTCTTATATATATTTTTTATATTTATTTTAATTTAATATTTTAGAATGTATGGTGATGTCCCTTCTTAATATAAAAAAATGGAAAATACACTGTTAATATATGTAACGTAATGTATATTTGTTTAATTTAACCCCAATATAAATTACGTTTTATATATGGGCATGTAAAGTATCTTAATATGTCTTTTTGTTTCATGTTATAATATCTATGTAGAATAACAACGCTATAAATATTAATTTATGTATATGAAAAACCGATGTTTAATCACGCAAAGATATTTATTTAAAAGGTTTATTTAGAAGGTTCACTTATCAATAAAATATGTGTGAGGACACTTCAGTTGATTTTCTTTATTAATTTCTTATAGTAGTTAGATGGTACTTTGAATTGTTAATATTAATCATTAACTAAGAGTACGGATATATTTTTATTTAACTTAGTTACATTTATTATCGTTAAAACACACATAATTAGGATCTTGAGTATACCTAAACTTTATGAAACTAAACTATTGAGTCTTAACAAAATAATTATTAATTCTTTAAGGATTCAATTATACTCAATATTTAATCAATTTGTACTATACAGTTTAAGGTGTTTGAAATTAAAAATGTATACAGTTTAAGGTGTTTGAAATTAAAAATGTATAATAAATAACTTATTAACTAACGTAATAATAATACCAGGTAACATAAAATATATTTTTTTTATTTTGAGATTTTTTTATTGACAATTTGAGCCCATATTAATTATTAAAAACTTTATTCAATAATAAAATATATGTTTTTATTTTTAAAATTTTTTATTTACAATTTGAGTCCATATGAATAATTAAAACTTTATTTAATTAATTTCAACGATTATATATAATAACTCAATTTATTGTATTTATTATATAAATAAACTTTAAATTATAGCTAAATATTTTTATTAAAGCAACCATTATATTAAAAAATGTAAATATAATAAAAATAAATTTTATTATGAAACAATAATTAATTACATGTTATTGAACTTGAACAACATTATTATGTTGATTTATACATTTCAACTATTGATTAGTCTGTTTGATTAATGAAACGGTTGGTCCCCAGTCCAAATTGTAAAACATTGAAATGAGAAAAAAAAGAATTGAAAGAGACAGACAAAAATAAAGGTGTAAGAATTTTTCAGCTGTGTTAAATGTCTCCTTCACAACCTTATACAAAAACTGGTATTGCATTTAAATCCCTTCATATTTTGCATAGTTTTAGAATATTATTAGTTATAATCAGGCATATCATGTAAGCCATGAAATAAATAACATTAAATTTTGTTTTCACGAGAAGTTGACTGTGAAATTTAAATAAATCTTTTTTTTTACTTGTTAGTGTGTGCCATTTTGGGTTGAATTATTCGGTTTCATAAAATTTCCCCTTTTCCCAATATTTAGAAATTATAAACATAAAAAAAAAACAAGAAAAGAGTTTGGTCTGGTCTACGGGTTAAATTCTTTTCTTATGATATGAGGGTTATAATTTATAGTAATTAAAATATTAATAATTTATAGTTATTAAAATATTAATAATTTATATTTATTAAAATATTAATATTTTAATTCAATTGTGATCAGTAAAATGAAAAAAAATATATTTTTTCTTTAAAATTATGAAGTTTGGCCTTTTTCTTGTAAGGAAAATAGATTAATTTTGTTTGAAATGTATATTTTTGTTTTCTAAAAAACTTAGATAACAATTAATAACGAGACGAAATGTTATGCATTTTTTTAAAATAGAAGAATTTAAATAAAATTTCAAAATATTTAGAAACATCTTTTAGTTAAAAGAAAGTAAAAGCAGAAAGAAGGCTGTTTGATAAGTGTAACAAGAAGCCCAAAAAGGCCCAATTTGTTGGTTTGGGAAGTGAAAAGAATAGGACTTGGGCGTGTTGCACTGTGACTTGCGTGAGAGGATTTTGAGAGTAGAGTTGCAGAGAGCGAGAGGAATCTTGAATACTTGGGGTTTTTTCCACTTCGGTATTTGTCACAATTTGAACTCATTGCTCCATATTTCAGGTAATTTCTACACTCTTTAGATTCATTCATTTCCTTTTCGGTGATTGTAAATGCCGTACGTTCGTTCCCGCTTCAATAATAACACCTTCAATGCTACTCTCTATATCCTTTAAATCTCCTTCCAATTGCTTTTCACTTTGCATCTCTTCAATTTTCTTTTTCCGGTTTATTTTTCTAATTTCGTTCATTCCTCCTAAGCGGATTGCGACTAAATTAACGCAATGATCGAGTTACGCCCTTTTTTTTTGACAATGATTCATTTCTGCGTGTTTGGTTGCACCGAATTTTGTGATGTGCGGATGTTTCAGTATAGAATGCGGATGTTTTTTTGGTTGCTGCTGTTATTGGTTAGTTAACTGTGCCTATTTTGGTTTAGAAATTATGAATAATGCTGCTGAAAGGCCACTAAATGGAGACGTAGAGGATGACGACGACGACGATGGTGCAGACCTTGAAGCCTGGGAGAGAACTTACGCAGAAGATAGATCATGGGAGGCTTTGCAGGAGGATGAATCTGGACTTCTTCGCCCCATTGATACTACAGCCATTTACCATGCTCAGTATCGCAGACGCCTTCGTAACCTTGCTGCCACTGCGGCTACTTCACGAATTCAGAAGGGGCTTATACGATACCTGTACATTGTCGTTGACCTGTCTAAGGTATTTAATTATAGCTTCTTCTTATGCTTCTGAGTCGTGTGGCATGGAGTGGTGCTTTAATTACTTGAAATTGGATTTCGAATGGAGGATGTGTGCATAAGTATGTTGTTCATAAGCGTATCACACTCACACTAGTGTTTCTATGTGGTGCTGTATGCCTAAAAAGCTGTTAAGAAACTGGTTATGGGCCAAGAAGTATCTTGTTCAACTTGTGATTGATGTAGTATTTGTGATAACAATACAATTACTGGTAGAAATATATAATAAGAAATCTAAAACATAAATAAGAGGAAATAAAATGTAGAACATATCAGTTACATGTATATCCTTTTAATCTCATATTGTATATAATTCGGTTTCTGTTATCATGTGAAGGCAGCATCAGAGAGAGACTTCCGACCAAGTAGGATGGCTGTGATTGGGAAACAGGTTGAGGTATTTATCAGGGAATTCTTTGATCAGAATCCACTTAGTCACGTTGGTCTGGTGACTATAAAAGATGGGATTGCTAATTGCATAACAGAACTTGGTGGCAGTCCCGAGTCCCACATCAACGCATTAATGGGTAAACTGGATTGCTCAGGTGATGCCTCCTTACAAAATGCACTAGAGCTTGTTCTTGGATGTCTAAATCAAATCCCATCATATGGTCATCGAGAAGCTCTTATCTTATATTCGGCTCTCAGTACGTGTGATCCTGGTGATCTCATGGAAACCATTCAAAAATGCAAAAGGAGTAAAATAAGGTGCTCAGTCATCGGTCTTGCTGCTGAGATGTTTGTATGTAAACATCTCTGCCAGGAAACTGGCGGGACTTATTCTGTTGCTCTAGACGAGGTTAGTTTATTACTTTTGATGGAAAAAGCCCTTGTAGATGTAGTATCCTCTATATTTCAACCTTAGTTTGAACAAGTACTTGAATATTTCTGATTACCTTTGAATTTGTTTGCATTTTTCAAATGCTTGATAGTTCATGAATGTATTCATTCAGATATTTGTGTACATCTCATGCAGTCCCACTTTAAAGAGTTGATCCTGGAGCATGCACCACCACCTCCAGCAATAGCAGAGTATGCTACTGCTAATTTAATTAAGATGGGTTTCCCACAACGGTCAGCTGAGGGTTCTGTCGCAATATGCACATGTCATGAAGAGGCTAAGGCTGGAGGGGGATACACTTGTCCAAGATGCAAAGTTCGTGTCTGTGAGCTTCCCACTGAATGTCGAGTCTGTGGATTGACCCTTATTTCTTCACCCCATTTGGCAAGGTCATACCATCATCTATTTCCTATTGTGATGTTTGATGAGGTCTCTCCATCTCAAAATGATTCTAGCCGCAGTTTTCCTAATACTTGTTTTGGTTGTCAAGAAAGTCTTCTAAGTCAGGGTAAGTTTATTCCTACATTTCCATTTCTGGTGCCTGTACAAATTTATATTGTTGGCTCACATATTATGTTAGGACGTGGAGAGTCTATAAGAGGAGGAAAGGGAAACAGAACACTTAACTGCTAATCAGTTAAGTGAGGGGGCGGGAAAGGACCTATATATTAGGACCCTTTAATGTTTCCGTTAGTCAGTTGTGTAGTTTGTATGTGTTGACCGGTCTTAGCACCAGGTGGAGGAGGTTAAGCTCCTACGATACAGTGTATTCTTGATTCATTGTTGTGAATACCATTCATACTATTCTTTCTTTACAAGTTCTTGATTGTTTGTGTTTGGGAGAGAGAGAGCTTGTTAGGAATTCTTTCCCGAATCCCTAACATATTATGTCTACTATGTACTATATACACATACCCCTTTACATGTGATACGATGGTAAAGATTGCAAATAGGTCTGTAATTTCATAGGGCTTTATATAAGGTCATAAATTGGTAATGGAAGTTGTTTCGGATATCATTCTGTTTAAATTGGTTTGTATATGTATTGTCTTATAATAAAAGGACCTAACCATAGTAAAAAAGATTAGCAATAGTATTTTTGAGAGATGGGGTTTAATATTTTTAACGTATCCCAGCGTGAAAATTCAACACTACTTCCATTGTGCAGCCTAAACGGATGAAAGGAAAATATCATATCTGTGATAAACATCCATATTAACCACCCAGAGCATTGAAAACTGCAACATATTATTACCTGTAGAGTTCTTCCCTCTGACTGTGGTGGCTTAAGCTTTTTAGACGGCAGATAAACTATTTTTTGTGCAATATGCTTGATACAGTGTGTCGAAATATATTCATATCAACTATGATGTTATGTGCGTGATAATAGCTAATACTTTTTAACTTGACGCAAAAGCCTTGGCTTTCTGTAATCATGTTGATGCGTCTATGCTTCAAGCAAGAATTGCTGAAGTTATGTAATGGACCCCAAATTTTAAATAACGATGTGTGTGTTTTAAGCTCTTATTACAAGTTTACAATTACCAAAGAATTTGAATTTTTTTGAAGTAACATTCGATGTTAAGTGCTTATGATCATATTTCATGAATATATGACAGAAGATATTGACTTCTTTTGGTTAAGGTATTTAAGCTTTGTGTGAAATTGATTGGTTTACTGACAGACGCCCACTGCTTAAAATATTCAGTGAAGGCTCTAAAATTCCTTTTCAATTTTCTTTTTTCTTCCAAATAGTATTGCATGTACAATATGTTCTTGCTCAGTTTTCGTAAACCCCCACTATGAACTCTTGACACAGGAAACAAGCCTGGACTTTCTGTCATTTGCCCAAAATGCAAACAACAGTTTTGCCTTGATTGTGACATCTACATTCATGAGAGCTTACATAACTGCCCAGGCTGTGAGAGTTCCAGGCATTCTAAGTCTGTAACTACTTAATGATTGCTGCTGATCTTCTGCTGCAACTATGGCCATCTTGATGGTGTTCTATGTTGTCTCTCTGTATTGACGTATTGCATCCACCTACTGCACCCATGAATTAGTCCGGTGCCAAGTGACTGACCGACATTATCATCCTCTATCACAATGGTTTGGCGGCCCTTGATGCCAGCCTTTGATCAGTAAATTCTTTGCAGGACAGACAACAGAAGTGATGTTATTTATACAAGGGTGAGATTGAACCAGCATCTGATAATTTTCCTTCTTTCCCTTACTGGAAATTAAGGCACATGTAAAATGTCTCCATTGCGTTTTTTAATCAGTGGGCTGACACCATCCTCGCCGGCAGATAAATTTTGATCATTAAATGAAATTGCCATTGCTAGCTTTGTATGAGATATTTACGAGTGTTTTGCTTAAAAAGCAGTTTTGAACTTCTGATTTCAGCTAACCCATTTCATTACCGTGGTCGGAAATGAAGTTGGTCAGAATATTTGATTTTGAAAGAGAGTTCTACATTCTCATTTGGGGGCCCATGTGGAAATATTTCTAGGGTGTAAGGTTGTTGTTAGAGTTTGACTTCTACTATGAGCTTCTTATTGTTTATTTAACAAATTTCATAGTAAAATTTAGGGTATAAAATCAATAAACCCTTGTAAGTTATAATACATTTTCCAAATGTTGAAGTGGCTTTTACAATAACTCTAAATAAGAGGATTCCAAAATTCTAAATAAGATGGAGGTGTTCTGCGTAATGCAGGCACTAGGGGTGAGAGCTAGTAAGGTTGCCCGGACCCCTTTTGCATTTTATTTAAAGTGCATGATAATTTAATCCGCTAAAGTTTAAGAATTGTCATATTCTTATTTGCTCACTTTTCATGTTCCATATTCCCTTGGGTGTAGTGTGTTCGAACATTTCATTTTAAGTCTTACATCCTACGTTTTCAATTCAATTTGTGCATTACACAGATTATCGTTAATTTGTTGAGTCTTGGTTGCAGTAATGATTATCTTACAGTATCAGGAGAATGTGGAGGGAATGACGTTATAGAATGAGTTCGTTTCCTGATTTTTCTAGTTGGTCTCGGCTATTGAAGTTTAATAGTAATATAGCCTTTGTTTGGATATTCTTTTAGAAGCACTTTTATGAATTAAAAAAAAATTGTTTATAAAATAAAATTACTTGTGTAAGTTGATTTGTAGAAATTTTTTGTATCAGTTTTGCTGTATGTTGATTTTTAATTTATACGTAAGTTCAATAATGTTGACTTCTGAAGAGTTCTATTTTATTTTTGTTCTTTTTTCCTTCTATAATTACTTCTAGAAAAGTTTATCCCCTGATACCCTAAAAAAGTAGTGTCTCTAATGAGTTGGGGTGCTTGGATCTAACATTCGCTTGGCAGATGTCATTTGCACTTCCCTGTTTTTTACTAATTTTACTTTATTTGAAAACTCAGATTTAAGAGTTAGAAAACTAATTTTGTAGCATATATTTATTAGAATGAGGATCTCAGGGTAGATGGAGGAGGTATGTGTGGGGTGTAAAGTAGTGTTTTAAGAAACCCTAGCAAATAATGTAAATTAGAAAGGGTGAGCTGATTTCTTGAAACAAACTATCCATTTTTTTAGAATTAAAAGGGTAAGCATGGATATTGGAAAAAAGGAGATGTATCCATGGACAAGGGGAGGTGTAAGTAAGAAAAGGCCATTCATTACCTCTAACGCCATGGCCACCTAGTCCAGTGGGCTCTGAGCAACATAATATTTCAACACTATAACTTTGTGGATGTATACTATTCTGCCATATAACAGAAAAAAAACTATATTTGCCTGAAGTGGATTTAATACAAAGTTTAATCAGTAATGTTGGAATTTCTCTCGTAGAGATGAATTTAACTAAAAGCAGAAAAAGTATTTCCCTCCATCCATCATATAAATGTTTTTTTTTTCAGAAAAGTAATATAATTAATTTGGTGGAAAATCATTTAGATCTGCCACACACAGACACCCCTGCATCTTAATACCGTACAGAGCAGAAATACTAGAAAAAAATATCAACTCTAAATTTTCTGCATCATAATCAGAAAGGAATTGCTGCACAAACCAGAGCAACTGAGAAGCACGTACGGAACTGGGTCTTAAAGTGCCTTCAATTTTAATTTTATTTTTATTTCTTATTCTTCATCGTTTTAAAAGTTTTCCAAATAATGGTGATAATCACTTCTTTTTTCTTAATTAAATTTTAGTCTCTCAAATTTAAAAATAAATAATGTTATTCTCTTAAAGTTAATATTTAAGGACTTAAAGCATATTGTTTTAAATTTAATAGGTTGAAGCGTTCTTTTGTTTAAATTTAAAAATCTGAAACCAAAATAACTTTAAACTTCATGACTGAAAACATAATAATTTTTTCTTTTTACTTTTAACTTCCAGCCAAATTAAAGTAAAAGGTAAACTATTTTAGAATCATGTATCATTATGGTAAAACTGAAAGTTCTGTTCTTTTTTCCTTTTAAAAAAAATGTATTATTTCTTCCTGTTTGTTTGATTTCACCTTATCAAGTTGACGTCATTTTGGTAAACTGCAAGAGATAGTTTTCTTTTCCTGGATATCAAGTACATTTGAATTCTTAAATTTATACATTGTTATTTTCTCTTCTTATAGAGAATGCATTTTCTCATATAACAGATGTTCGAATCGGTCACCTTGACAAATCAACAAATCTAATACTATTTATGGATTCAAAGATTTGAAGAGAAACACTGCATAAATTCAATAATAACGGGATATGATTAAATCTACGTAAAAAATTAAGATACCATTTTTAACTAAAATTTTTAAAATAATAAAGCTATAGTTTTTTATTCTTTGAATATATTGTTTATTTATTCATTATCATCTAATATAATACTTTTTAACACACTCAAATTCACAGTACTTGAAGCCGTTGAAGTTACACGAATATGTAAACGTAGCCAAATATAATGACAAAATTGGGAAGAACTTAATATCTGAGGAGAAAAAAATAGTTTCGATAAAACTAAGCGAGAAAATTGCATTTATTTTACTCATGACAGTGATAAAATAAGCGCTCACTCTTTTTATCTTTTAAAATAGGAATCTTCTATATTTTTAATAAATAATATTCACATATTTTTTTTTAATAAGGTGACCAACCTCTATTGTGAGTTTTGTAAAAATAATTTTTTATTTTTGTTTATTAATTTCTTTTAACTTTTATATTATAAAATATAATTTTTAATTTTCAAACTTTTGTTTAAATTTTACTCAATATAATAATTTTAAATAAAATAAGGAAAAGAAATATTATTTTATTAAAATATAAAAAAGTGAATGTTAGGTCTTAAAAACATGGAGTATATATATAGAAACAAGATAGGAATATCGTTTTATTAAAATTATAGTAAATATTTATTTTAAAATCACACTATAATGTAAAAACCTAACAATGTAGAATGAAAGTGTTTAAGAAGGAGAAAATTTCATCTGCATATTCAAGTATAGGTAGAAAAAAAAGGTAATGAAAGGGTTGAAAGATAGTGGAAGCAATCATTACATTGACTTAGCATAGGAAGTTAATGTGTGAGATATAGAATACAGATACATACATATATGGAAGTGCAGTTTATGATGAGAGAAAAGTAGTATCAGATTCAACGTGTTCATATGAGATATCAATCCTTTTTAATTCAATGTCTTAAAACTAATAATAAATAATTTTTATTTATATACTAATAATGAAAATTGAAATTGATCTGGAAGAAGACACAGAAAATGAGAAGACAGTGCAGTTAATTAAATGGGGTAATCACAGTCTGGAAGAATCGAGAAAGCATAGAGAAACGAAGCACGTCTCCGACAAATCAGCCTATGCATAATGCATTCTGTCTGCACTTTCTCTCAAACTTGTTCATCTCATTACCTTCTTCCTATTATCATCATCATTATTCAATATTATTCTTATCATAACTCATCAACAAATGACCCCACTTCCAATACATAGATATCAACCTTCATTTCGTATATAAACAACTACCTATATACATATATTTATATATTATCTTATTCTTGTTTCATCTTTGCTATCAGTCCCACTAGTGCTACCTTTTGTCAGCCTCCTTTTTGCACGCTTCTCCTTCGCGTGTTCTTTCCTCTTTATATATATATATATATATAACTATATATCAGAGAGATTGTAGGGTACTATAAGGGCAGCAGAAAGTTATTGGTTTTGCATCGATGAATGAATGTATGTAACACAAGTTATAGTATACTTTTAAATATATATTAAATGAAGGTTGGTAACACAACAAACTGAGACTCATTTAATAATCTGTATTAAAGTTTAATTACATGTGAAAATTGATCAGACCAGGCATGTGGTGACAGATTAAATGTAAAGGTGAGAGTGAAGAAGAATAATGATTCGGAAAGCTGATATAGCACACGTTTGACCTGAAAATGGTGTATCTAATGTATGTGTACGTGTGGACGATGGAAAAAGGGTATTATTGAAGGTCCTTTTTCTGTTAGTGATTGCTTTGCTTTGCTTTAGATTCATTAATTTCATACCAGCCAACTCATTTTATTCATTCATTTCAAAGATTGCTAGCTAGCTGGCTAGCTCACTGCTGCTAAGTTTATTTATGACAGTTTATGTAAAGTCTTCATTCTTTACAATAATATGATCGAAACACAGCCTTTTTTCAATTCTGTCTTTGTTTTGTTTTACTTTCCAGCTTTTGGAGACTACTCAGTTCCGACTAAAGTTTCTAAGCTAGATCTTTAACAGTAAAGTTTCTACCAAACAAAGAAAATCAATGTAT